TTTTCCAATTTCCATACAAATGTAGCACGGATTTTAAGAAAATGTGAATTGATCCACATTTCCTTCAACAAGTGTTATATAAATATTAGGAGTTGGTGCATCGAGATATACGGTTGATGGTGCTGGTTCCCCTCTCAGGTGCCATTAAACCATTTGACAAGCCCAGTCAAACACTAGAAAAACATGGAGAATGGTATGGAAATATAGCATTAATGTTTGTTTCATGTAAAATTTGAGGGATGTTACAGTCTCTTTATCTGTGTACTCAAGCTAGAGTTATGTTTAAGTCACACACTTCATGTATGTCACAATTTATTTACCATGACATGTTTGGTTTTTATCGACACACCTTTTTCAACCTCAGCCAAGTCTTTTTTTCTTTTTTTTAATCTTTTTTTTAGAATTAGTTAGTCTTTCCATGTGCAGATTGAAAATCCATGTCGAGACAGATGGAAGGAAACGCATTTTTAAGTAACGCAGGAGGTTAGGTGCTTTAAACACCTACCTTTAATGCGATACCAACAAGCCTCAGCCTCACAAGAAAGACTCAGAGTCAGGGCACACACAGGGACACAGTGGAACTGTTGGCTCAAAAGACAAAGCCAGTGATTTCCAGAGACAGCCGGGACTCTACTGCTACAGGGTACGTCTCAGGTTGTAGTTAGCTGTGTTGATCCTTGATTAATTAGTTTTGAGGCTGAAGTAGAGAGAGGTAGACTGAGGTTGAAAGGTAATGAGCCCAACAGAGAAGAAGATTCCTGAGCCAATTTTGAAGACTAATGCAGGAATGTTTTGTTGCGCATTTACTTCTCTGAATATCTAGTCATCATGCGTTGTCACATTGCAGTGCACTTACAATAGTCAAGTCTTCAGCACAGGAGAGTCATATGTAATTGGCCAGAAGATAGGTGGTGATTATAGGGCTTAGTAGCGCAGTGAACCATATACTATAGATTCTGCAAGATTACCTTGAGAGGTCTACGCGGCTCTTACCCACAATACCTGCACTTGTGGGGCCAGAAAATCATGGTGATCCATAGTGTGCCAAGAATACATTGGTGAAATTCCATAGTGGAAAATGTTGGTAATTTCTTTGCCTCCAGTGTTGCTGGTTGTACAAGTTTGTTGTTGTTTGTTGTTTGTTGTGTAAGGTAAAGGTTTGTTTCATATGAAAGTAAATTCTACAGAATAATACAGAACAATGAACAGCATTGTTCTAGAAATCAGTTAGAAAAAAACAAGATAGGCCACGGAGGACGAAAATCGTCAACCAAGCCAAGTTAGAGGGATCGAGTCGGCTGGATAGGGAGATAATGATGGAGTCACGTATGCAGAGTGGGTGTAAACTAAGGAGGAGAGAAAGAGAATGAGAGAGACAGAAAGTTATTAAGAGTCCTTACCCACATATAGATCACTGAATGTCTTCATGGCCTGTGAGAACCCTGCCGCCCACCCAACATCTGATAATTACACTTCATTAGGAGAGCAGGTAGTGATGAGAGAGGAGGCCGACCACTGAGAGCGTCATGAGAGCGAGTGAGAGACATGTAAGTAGGAGAGCAAGGCAGACTGGAGTGATATACTGTTGTGAAAGGATAATGGGAATTTGATTATGCGGGGAACAAAAGCAGTAGCCCACTGCGTGTATGTGTGTGTGTGCATTGGGTTGTTGCAAGTGTGTATTTGCTTGTTTGTGTGATTCCATGGGTGTTTATGCATGAATGTGGGTAAATTTATTCTAGCTCAGGGGTCTGTATTTATTGCCTTGCTTTAGTGTCACACTAAGACGGACAGGTCTGCCGCGGTGAAGAAAGTAATAAGGTTTTCTATGAGACACACACACACACACACATACACACACACACACACACATATATCCTATAGCTTGACATTCTCTCCTTGCTGCTTCCTTGCACCAGCCATACATATGCCCTACACGTCATGTGATGTAGCAGTGTTAGGGCATCAGCAGCAGAGCAGCAGTGGCCAGTGAAGGAGTGCTGCAGCTTACAGTGCTGCAGTAAGATTCAGTGGAGCAGAGGTCAGTTTCCCCCGGTCTGACAGCCACGTGGGAATGTGTCCATATGGAAAACATCCTTTACACTACGGGCTTGTCTAAGAGTGGCTGAACAAAATCGCTACAAAGGTGTGATGTCCCAGAGGTGCAGGGAGGAAACCAAAGAGATCCTCTGTGTGTGTCTGTGTGTGTCTGTGTGTGTGTGTGTGTGTGTGTGTGTGTGTGTGTGTGTGTGAGAGTGTGTGAGAGTGTGTGTGAGAGTGTGTGTGAGAGAGAGAGAGAGAATCTGTTGTCAGCAGAAGGAGTGAGGTGGGGACTGCAGTATTCCTCCAGCAGGAAGCATTGATTTTCCAGCCCAGCGTGGGGATGAGGGAAATGTCAGCCTCTAATTGAGTTGATAAAACCGTTTTAAGTTCCAGACATAAATATGGTTTCCCCTCACAAAAGGCCACCATATTAGGTAACTCCCATTGGGGAGGTCTGTTAGGAATGAAAGGTGTCCATACCCTCGTGCCTGTGGAGTTTGTTTCTCGGACAGCACACCACTGCCACTGACAACTCCAACTTAAACAACTGTAAAGGTCGCTTGTCCCTTGGATTACAACCTTTGAGGGTAGGGCCTCCAACGTCACTGTAACAATAATAAAAACATGATTAAAGTTGTGGAACAGTCACCGTTTGGTTAGGTTCAGGCACAAAAATGCCCCTTTCTTTGCTCCCATTATCATTACTATGTTCACGGTCACTAGAGGTCACTCAACAAGGTCGTAATGAGCGGCTTGCACCGACGACATATAGGCTCTTTTTTTTTCTTTTTTTTTGTACAGCAGGACAGTCTCCCACTGAATGTAATGTTTTTTCATCGCGGAGGATACAAGCTCATTAGAATAATCTGTTTTTGTTGTGGCAGAGAGGGTAGAAATGGAGTGTGTGAGGGAGAGAGGCAGAGGTCATATCCATTAGAGGTGTAGAGGGTGAATGAAGAAAAGGCTGAATGAAGCCTCCACTGTCCCTGCTGATTAGCTGATTGATATGCAGAGAGGGCAGAGAAGTTACCTGCTGCCTTCAGTGGAAATTCACACTAATGTAAGAGAAGTAGTAGTTGTTGTTCAAAGAGGATAAATGCACAAAATGTGAGTGGATTGAGTTTTTTTTTCTGAAAAAATTATGGAAAATGTTGTTTTATTTTTTTCTTATTTTGAAAAAATATATCTCTATTGACAAACAGGTTTATCTGCAGTACTTACACCGTTAATAGTTTTCATCAGTTAGCTGCTCAACAGTTGATCGATCAAGTTTGAAGTTGCGAGGAATGCATGTGAACACATATGAGCGTGAGTGTTTGCATCTATGGGGGCTCTGCTCTCATTATTAGGAGCGATAATTAGGGTTTCACACATTTCACCCCGCACACGCACACACGCTTTGTGTTTCTCACAAATTCGAATGTAAGCACACACACATATTTGTGGATAAGCCTACTGGTAATTAACAGACATAATTAGGCACACAGCCATTCGTATAGGGAATGCACACTCATGGAACCACACACACACACACACACACACACATACACACACAGAAAGACACACATTACTTCCCTGGTAATTAAGAGTATTAATTACAAGCATAGCTGTCCCCATGAGGCTCTGTATCACTCACAGACTGGCACACAGCAGGGTTCTTATTACTTTATCTCACCATACCATCACCACTTCTCTCTCTCTCAAGCTCTCCGGTTACGCATGCACCCACATGTACTCTCTAATATACACCTGCTGGATAAACAAATGGTAGATAATTAGTCAGAGACTGATAGCTGGCCATGGGTTAACTTTCGGTAGCTTGGGAACTGAGTGAGATCTGCTTGCTTGATCCAGAGCAGAGAAGTGTGCCTGAGGGGCTGTGCCAGTGTCTTTGTTTTTTGTCAAATGTCCTTTTAGCCACCCTTTTTCTCCTCTGCACTTTGTTATACTGTAGCAACTGAAGTATATATTTCACAAATTAGGCTGGGAGATACAGTTTCCATCTGTATTACATGTGTTATCTTGTGATTTTATCTCTTTTTATATCAAATGAGCTACTCGACTTTCACTGTAGTATGCACACTAACCTAGTTGGACATCTAGGCCAATCTATCTCAGTCCAGTCAGGGTAGAGTAGCATGTAGTACGCATGAATTGGATGCTAGCTGAGTTAACCTGTTAGCTCTGGACAAAAAACTGTGAGACAAAGAGCCTTAGGAAAAATATCTGTTAGACAAGGAACATGCCATGTTTGAAGGGCTTGAGACGTATTCCCAGTTAATGAACTAGCCTTGCACTCTGTGACACCGGAGCTGTGCTGCATCCTCAGCACTTGGAGGAGCCTGACATCATTTATGGAGATATTTTACAGTTCATTCCCAAATGTCACAGTGGTTGCATGTCTGGATACTGCAGGAGAGCGTCTAAGCTGTCTCTGCAGAGCCAAAGGTTGTTCACATGCCCTGAATGTGTGAGCAGCGTCAAGACAACAACAGGGGAGAGGAGATGGATCCACCACTGTAAAACTGCAATCACCCAAAAGCTCAAATACAATAAAACTCAGCACAATATTGGGCAAAAGAACTGAACTACATTAATATCCATGCATTGTATCTCCATGCAGTATTCTACTTGTATACTGTAAAGAGCTTAGTGTCTCATTACAAATAAAGCTATTTTACAGAGTGTTTTCTAATAAGTAAGAAGAGGATTATTGTGGGTGGTTTATTACCTGGTAATCTTCATCCCTCTCATATGTTCTTGTAAAATAACTTGAAGATGCATAATATTGCTGTATTGTTTTGCTGGAAATTTAATATTTCTTTATATGTGCTGTAATCACACTGTAACCAGTGCTATATGTGCTCATTCATATTACATTCAAATTTTATTATTTTCTCTCACCCCCTTGTAATGTGTTATTGACTGTGTGTCTTTCTGTTTGTGTTTCTCTGCAGTGGACGGCTGTACAGACTGGTCAGTGGACTACCTTAAGTACCGGGTGCTGCAGGGCGAGCCGGTGCGGCTGAAGTGCGCTCTGTTCTATGGTTACATCCGGGCTAACTACAGCCAGGCGCAGAGTGTGGGCCTCAGCCTCATGTGGTACCGCAGCTCTGGCCTTGGCCACAGCGACTTCGAGGAGCCCATCTCTTTCGACGGGGTGCGCATGAGCAAGGAGGAGGATGCCATCTGGTTCAGACCTGCTGACCTCCAGGACGTGGGCCTCTACTCCTGTGTCTTACGGTAGGAGGAGGGAAAAGCAGAAATTACTAGGGATGATGATTTTTCTCAAACGTTTATTACAGGGATTTAGATGATAAAACTAATACCACTCACTTGTTTGTGCGTTACGTATAGAGCTGGAGCCTGAGGACAGCTTAATTTAGCATGAAGACTGGAGTCAGGGGGAAGTAGCTCCCTTTGCTCTCTGGAAAGTTCAAAAACACACCTACCTGCACCTCTAACACTTTCTAATGAACATGGTGTAACAATATGGAATCTGTACACAAAAATGTAAAAACGACAATTTTTGGTTGAAGGTGATGAGAAGAATCGATGAAATAGTTTCAACACAGAGCGCCCCATAAAAGTTTGTACTTTATGCTAAGCCAGGCTAATTGCCATCCAGCTTTTGCTCTGTACTTCATAAAAAGACATGTGAGTATATATGAGAGGAGTAGTAATCCTCTTACTTAACTTACACAAAGAAAACAAATAACTATGTTTCTCAAAATGTTGAAGCGCAGTAAACTAATCAAGTTAAATTGGTTACGTTGTACAATTTTTTCTTTTGTTCGTTTTATGAAAAGGTTTAAATTTGAGGTTTTTATATGAAACATTTTTACTCTGTTTGGGCTTTTAAACCGATTATAATCAGATTATTAGGCTCCATATAAACATACCTTTTGTGATATGGCAAAGGTAGATGTAACCACAAAGACAGACAACAGAGTACAAACTCAAGCACAAACACAAACACCCACATATACACACTCACTTAAGTGAACCGTTGCAGAGAAACTCTTACTAATACAAGATGCATAATTATGTGGCAGAAACTTATTAACCTTTACAGTGGAGAACATCCCTCAATAAACGGCTCATTGCAGCTCTTCATTTCAGAGAGGTTTTTTAATAAACCCAGTTAAAGGCCTTTTAAAGACCCTGAGATGCTCGCAGGATACATTGAGTGTGCCTGGGGGGGGGGGGGTGCTTGTGTGCAGTGATATCCCAGCCTGTATTTCATGAACACACACTTTGTAGGACTAATCTGGCACAAATACTTTGTAATGCTGTCTTACTGTAAATTAAGCTTGACTTTGATTATTGACCATTTCTTCTAACAAGGCCGTGTTCCTATTCAAGTGTTGTGTTTGAAATTCAGGGCGTGCTGTAATTCTGTAGAGCCCTACAGTTGTAAGAAGTGCCCCCAGGTCTGTGTTTCTCAGCCTGCTCGTGTTGAGCTTGGGGGATTTCAAACCGCTCAGATACCCTAATCAGAACACTGCGAGAGATTTGCCTCTGTGCTGAAATCAATTCTCTTTTTGTTAGGGAGTAAGCTTTTGAGTCACACATTTTAGCACATATGACCCAACCGCTCTCCCCTGAAACTCCCCGCAGGCAAAGACAGGAAAAATATGCCTTCATCTTCTCTTTGCCCCAGTTGGATTTCATACAGTACATGCAGCAGACCTTCATTTATCCATACCGTAGACATCTGAATTACACCTAATGTGAAAACCACCCCCAATGACATTACTGGTGATGGACAAACATTACACAACCATATGACCAGAGAGTTGAATCAACACCTCTGTAAGATGATTGGATATATAAAATTTGTAATGTTAGTGCTTTATTGCAGGGCTGGTGTAATGGTTTGGTATTTGATATACTTAATATGTACCTAATAAACTGCAGCTCAGTGGGTATAACAATTCAAAAGCATAATGAGTTACTCGGTTGTAAAAATCTCATCATTATTACATGCAATTTAAAACATAAAGTGCCACTGGCACTATGGTACTTTTCCAGACGCTCTGATGTAACCCGTAAGGGCTAAAATGGCACCCCTACGGCAGCAGGTGTACCAGGCATTTGTCATCATGGTTGCAATAATAAACATGTGGATTAGCTTATGGGCCCCCCATCCCTGGTCAAATTGCCAAGGATGATGCAGGACCTAATACACTGCCTCAGAAATGAATCTACATGCCAAGGCTACATACATAGATATTTTAAGCACACTGTAATTGATCAGATTAGGATGCTTTTGATTTCAGCATGGGTAACGTGAAGAATGCATACCAGAAATTTGGGGGTAGTGATGGCAACGATCCATTTAGAAGCGATAATGACTGCAGTTTTTACTTCAATGATTTCATTGTATCACAGTTAAAGCTAATCTTGATGTAAACGCCCTCATATTAAAGCTGATAGTCTGCACTCTAAAGTCCTAGGGATTGTTTCATTTCAAATCCAGTGATCGCTGAAGTACAAAAAGCCAACACACTAAAAATGTGTCAATGCCCTAATGCCTTCTGACTGCACTTAATGTATGGCAGGATAGTTTCCAGTAGCTCTGGTCATGTTGCGTAATGTCTATAAATGTAGGTAAATCCCTCTGTGTTAAGTTCAGCTTTCTACTGCCGCCCTCCAGATGTTTTTCTCAGAAAGAGATATGGAGGCACACCGATTCACTGAAGTGTGTGTCTTTCTGTGCTGCGTATGCGTACGTTCTTTGTGTGCATGCGTGTGAATAGTTATCTTTGTCCTTCTCGGTCTGGAAATTTAAGTCTAATCGCTAGTTTTCATGTGAAGGTGACTTCATTTACACATCAATCTCCGTGTGCTTCCTCTGGCTTTCTCTCTCTTTTTCTTTGCTCTTTCTCTGCCTCTCTTTCCTCCGCCTGTCCTTTCCTCTGTCTTCTCACACAAGTCTTCTTTGCTCTTTCACAAACACACACACGTACACACACACACACACACACACACACACACACCGCCACAGTCTCTCTATGTTTCACCGGATAAATTATTTTATATTAATTCTAGTAATGAGTCTGTGTTCTGGAGTGGCTGACACCGTGTGTATTTCCTTCCCATGATTACATTATCCAACGGTGGGATAATATTTGGAGAATTACGGCTAACGTGAGCCGCAGACTAATATCTGCAACTAATAACCAGCTACACTCAAATAGAATGTGACAGACGTGAAAGACACCGCAGGACTGTGCATTGACCCCCGGCTGTCCATCAATCAAGCTGCACCGCTGACACCTTCCCACAATGCCACAGGGTGCCGGCTGTGAATATTTAAACATTAGAGATGTCTCCTATCAGCTCCCTGGAGACTTCAGTGGCTCAGGTGCACTACTGTGAGAGGTCATTTCTGATCACCCCCCCGTTATGTTAACAAGCGGGTTGGTGTTCTGTGGGTTGATTTTGTAGGTGGGGAAATTTGCCAACATGTGCATGTTATGTGTCCACATGCGTATCAGTGACTGTGTGCTTGCATGGTTGTATTTTTTCTTTAACTAAATATATTGTCCAAGTGTACTTTGTAAGCCTACAGCATCGCATCTTCCCACTCTGTTCCCTCTAGATAGGAGGCATTGAGTCGATAATGTTAGATTTCAGCACCAAGAGGGCATAACTCTGTTGCAATATCTTGCATCGTACTTTTGCTTCCTACAGCATTTTCCAGATGCCCTTTTAGTCATCTTCTATGTAGTAGACCTATATAGCATCTTCTTTATCTCATTCTCAGTTGCTATTCTGCTTCTGCTCCCCTCATTGCTATCTTTACAGTCTTCCACAGCTGCGCACAGCAGCATTTGTCTCTTTAGCATGTGTGTGTGCACACACGTGTGTGTGTCTGCATCTGTGTTTTATGGCCCCAGGGGGTCAGAGGTGTTTATACGAGAGAGGGTGACTCCCTTATTGCTTCAATAACCTGAGTAGATCATATGAAACCCTGTCATTTACAGTGAATGGGAGCATCTGGCAAGCCGTAAATGTAATGTAATGAAATGAAATGAAAGCCCATATGGCTTTACGCACAGCTTCCCATTTTGACCAACCAACTGGCTGACCTAGTCAGATCACAGTCAGGCTGGGCCAGGAGACAGAGGTTAAAAACGCAGACAGACTTACATTATAAAAGTAGTCTTAGTCTAGGTCTGATGTTCATGGTTTGGGTAAGGCCTCTCACTTCCAATTAAGGGCAATCTTAAAGGAGCGATGTTTAAGTTCTGCTGTTACTACATAGCCTGCGGCATTAACAGCTCTTTACTGACCAGTGTAGAGGAAACATTGTGAGTTCAGCATCAAACTTCATTCCTTCATTCCTTCATTCATTCCTTCTCATCAGGAACTGTCTACAGTGGTGGAAAGCAACACCAATGTTAACTCTTTTCTTCTACTGAAGGGTGAGGGTTAGCTAACCGTGGCCCATCTGATTAATATCCGATAGCAGTTCACTGTAGCCCATCTGCCCTGAAGACATAGTGCTGCTCAGAGGGCATATTAAAACTTCTTGTCTCGTAAACACAACAATGGCCGAAGCTCCTGTCAAGCAACAATCATCACCACCTGCCCCAGCAAGAAACAACGTTCGGCAGCAGAGGAAACTTACAAATAGCCTCTTTTAATGCTACACCTACTCACAGTATGCTTCCACTTTTGTAACAATAATTCGGAAATAAGATGGCCCTCTTCTGTTTCAACATGACAAAGTCCCCAATGTACTAAGTGAGATCCATAAGGAAATGGTTTTCTAAGTTTGACATGACAGAGCCCTGACCTCAGTGCGAGTGAGGTGGAAGTGTGGAATAAACTGGGACACCTGCTGCAAGCCAGGACATCAGGGGCCATTGTCAGTAAAGCTTTTGAGGCTGAAAGAGAGCAAATGTCAGCACCAAAATTCAGTGGAAAAACTTTCCCCAAAAGAGTTGAGGCTGTCAAAGCAGCAAAGATGTCAACATACTTTGTGTGGGGATCCTTATACTTTTGGCCATGTTGTGTAAGTTTGGAAGGGAACACATTGTCACAGTCACTTTTGGGGAGGCGAGTGCAATGGGATGGCATTGTGTCAGTGGTGACAGGGGCTGAAATGATGGTGGCTGATGGTGGTTAATGATGATGATTACGACAACATTGATAACAGAGAGAGAGAGAGAGGCATCCTTCACCTCTGCCAGCTTGTGTGCATCAGAGGTGAAGTGTGCTCACGGTTGCCGGGAGACGAGGGAGGATGTGCAGTGGGGACCAACTCCTTGTGATGACCAAGCAGCTTTCCCATCCTTCATGTCGTGAGGCCCTCTCAGCGTTTGTCTCTTCTCTGATTAGCATTCCCAGGCCCGGCTGACTCCCCCCATAAATCCAATAATGGTCGTGAGCGTGAGTCATTGACTCGGTAAAGCTGCTGAACACGTCATTATTGCTAACCCCACAAACATGAGAGGAGGAGGGAGACAGAAGAGGGATGGAATAGGATACAAATAACTGAAAGGGTATCAAAGGGAGTGAACATAAAATTACACTTGTTTGACAATATGTAGTAAGAGTATCAGTGTTTTTTGTTTGTGTGAATGAACATGATTAAGAAAGTCTTTTATCTGTCTTGCTTTCTATTATGTAACATCTGTACTGTTTAATGGTGCTTTCTCAGTGAACTCCCACTATCAGACAAGTAAAGTGTTCTTGTTCTCTGCCCACAGGAACTCAACATACTGCATGAAGGTGTCCATGTCTCTGACTGTGGCGGAAAATGACACAAATCTGTGCTACAACTCCAACATGAGAAGAACTGAGAAGGCTGAGCTCAGCAAGAGTAAAGACATTCTCTGCCCTGACATAGATGACTATGTTGAACCTGGCAAAGAGCTGGACATCACCTGGTACAAGGTGGGCTTTCTCTCTGACCGAGCAGTTAATGTGTGATTGTATCTCTTCTTGGTTTGTGTATTATTTGTACATTTGCGTGAAGGTTCACTGTTCAGTGTTTTTTGTATGTCTTGAATACTTGTATTTGCTATGTGTCAGGCAAAAGTAATAAGGGGGGCATCTGTCTTTGTGATTATACAACCGAGAAATATTCTTTAATGGTTCATTGGTTTGTTTTCATCTAATTTCTTGGCTGATTATGTTTAAAAGCCTTGTTGGAAACTTGGTTCCAGATCACTTAGGCAGATTATGTATGGATGCAAATGATGACAATGAATTACATAAGCTATGTTTGCTATGTTTGCTTTGTGCCACCGTCGGAGTCATAGTTATAGTCAAGAGAATAAGTAGTGAGCAGAGGTGGCTTTCATAATCAACACAAATCTTGTATGAGGAGAAAATTGTACAATGTCACTCTTTGCCCTGAGGAATGAGTGGATGTCCTCCAAATACACCTCGTCCCTGATCTTTATTCAGCATGCGCCCTCTCCTCCCTCACCTGGGTTCTTGCCTTTCCCAGGTCAGGCACGGCCTGCGGACAACATAGTGCATCAGGAGAAGGGCTCAGGCCAGACTATTCACAGGCAGATCAGCAGTAGATTAGCTGGCCGGGCTCGACCTCTAGGTTTTTCCAGAATTCAATTATGGCTTGGGTAATGACTGGGAGTCCTGGAACCCAGAGTTATTTGGATGACTGTGGAGCCACCGTGATTGAATTTGAAGGTTGCCGGGAGCAATGGTGGAATAGAATCCGCCGAGCCATCGTTGTCCCTACCATAGCACCGAGGGGGCTGGAGAGGGGATCATGTCATGGAGTCACTCATTGTGCCTGCACATACTTATACTCACACACACACACAGACGCAGCATAAACACACTTATTTTGCCAGCAGAGACTACTGTAAATAACATTCTCTGTCCTCTCTGGATATACTGGAGTATTGCATAGAGAATATTCAGTTCAGTGCAATAAATCTTGATCAGATAAGTAGGATAATGGCTAAGCCGTTTCATTTTACCTTATGGAATTTTTATGTCAGAGTGCCAAGCTATGCATCGCTAGCACTCTATCCACTTTCTTAACATTTGACATGACATTTGAAAGCTTTTTTTGTGTCCAGCTCAAACCATTTGAAATGTTGTGGATGTAATCCATTATGAATTTTGGGTTGATGTTTTGAATTTGACCTACCCGTCCTTCTCTAATGCACAGGAGTGTCGTCCAAAGCAGTGGCGTGCCAGCATCATCCAGAAGAGAGACATTCTGTCTATCCAGGAAGTAAAGGAAGATGACATTGGGAATTATACCTGCGAAATCCAGTTTGGTGGTTTTGTAGTGAGGAGGACAACTGAGCTGACAGTAACTGGTAAGTTTTTTGGAGGAAAAAAACACAAGAAAGTGTGATTTTGTATATGCCGAAGTGTCTAGAGGTGTCTACAAATTTTACTGTAGCAGTTGAAACTGTCAAAGGTACTTGCAGGAAAGAAATGGATAGTAACTAATACACACACACACACACACACACACACACACACACACCACTGAGCACTGCAGCGGTGTCCTGCTGCTCTGTTAATTGCTGGGGGAGGTAGAATGCTGTGGCCTGGCTTCTCTCCCTTCTTCTAACTCAGCACTTTCCCGCCAACCAAGCAGTGTTGAAATATTTAAGGCTATGGGCTAAACCCCTTCACACAGAGAGCTAAAGAGCCAGGACCAAGGTCAGGAGATTTACAGTACACTTAGTCTGCTCTCTCTGTTTCTATCCATCTCTCTCTCTCTGTCTTTGCCTTGCACACCTGCAAGGTGAGCACATAAATAAATGCCCTCATGTGTTCTTTATGAGAGTGACTGTTGTGCCAGGTCAACTGCCCTGATTAGGGTTGATGAAAAGGTCAAGTCCAGTTATTTTCTGTCCTTTTCTTTCTCTCAAGACAATTTCGATGGTGCAACTCATTGTATTTTAGTGTACATTTTTTTGATGCCACCTATTACACTCGGCCCACTGGGGTCACATCATTAAAATTAAAGCCTAAAAGTGTGGACGTATTGGGTGCAGTGATGCTTTAGGAAATGAAATGAGCGTTGCTTGACCTCTAGTTTGGGATAATCATATGGCAACCACCAATATGAAAAAAAATTACAAAACTCATCGCATCTGTTTGAGAGGAAGGTGTGTGTCATGAAAATATATATCTTTAGGATTAATGGATTAGAGGTGGTGAGCTCAAAAAAGTGCCCACATCAATTTTCCGTGGATTCGCAATTGTGTGGTGTGTGGCGTGTATGTGGTGGATGGGTGTGGTGAATGTTGTGTTGTGTTTGTCGTGTTTTGGTTATGCCCCCACCCCCCCCCCAGTGTTAGCATTTGATTAGTATCTCGTGCAGTATTTATTTGTGTGGCTGGTCATTGCTCTCGTGTGACATGAGGGTGATAGCAGTGTGTGGTACAAAGGCTGTTTGCTATCTAACAAAGATCAAACAGAAAGATACATGCCTCACCCTGAGCAAGGCTTACTATTGGATGAGGCTAAAATGTGATCCTGTGAGGTGTGGCTCTGAGACTGGTTGATCTTGTGATTGATGGATCAGCAGTTCATCCTCAGTGGGACTCAGTAAGTGTGAGACAGGTAGGAGGTAGATGCACTAGATTTAATTTCATCACTGTTACCTTCAGAGTAGAATATTACTGTGCTCAGCATTTTCCTGTAAGGAGCCTAAAAGAAGAATTCCTCACGACATGCATGAGAAGAATATCACCATATAACGTGTGAGCAGCAGAGTACCATTGGGTTAGGCACTTAGGTCCTTTTCTATTTTGAGGTTCTGTGCTACAGTTTGAAGGGTCACTTCACCCATTTCAGGGGAAGAATAATTTCCTCTCTATATCTGTCCATGCAGTTTCTCGTTCATTTCTTTCTTTTTGTTTTTGCTCAGGTTTTGAGTAATATACTGTTAAGACTTACCAGACCTACCAAATACAATAGACATCAATAGAATTTGTGGTGCTCCCAGCACTGAAAAATGTAGAGAACTCTGGAGCAGCGTGTCTTTCCAGAGAGAATATCCCACTTACTCAAAGTACTCCACATGCCTTGTTGTGGACTACTTTACCGGGATGTTGTGACTGTGTTTTCATTCTTTGAGCAAGAGAAAGTAAATCCCTTCTACCTTTTGAGCTACCCAGAATAGCTCAGTGTGGCTAGCTAAACTTATTTGTAATGTGAATACATAGTTCTAGATTGTGTGTTACACAGTTTGTATGTTTGGCAAGTGAATACCATGTTGACTATATGCTGTATGTACTTTGGCTGTATCCTTGTGTGTCTGTTTGCCTGTCAGCATGACCTCGATGTTCTTTAATGACGATGGTCATAAAAACTTTATTGGGTTATAAATATACACAGTGAACATTAATGATACAGACGGACGGAGAGAGTGGAAAAGGGAGAGGAATATATAGAAAGAGGCATAAAGAAAGAGAAAGAAACACTGATCAAGTCTGTATGAAAGCCCTCCATGTTACCTGCAATGTGAGTTATGAATCCACAAAATGCCTGGCTGAACAATAGGAGCGATAACACTAGAAAATATATAACTGAATGCTTTTGGGTAAAATCAACCCTGTGAACAAGAGTGAGTCCGCGAGCAAGAATAAAAGCAATAAGTAATTTTACGTTTGATTATCTCTCACTCTGAACATATTTTCCATTGTTCTGTGTTCTTATCATTCTTCCTAAGCCACCCATAGTTTCTTGTATGCCTTTCAGTCATGCTTGCGTACACACATATAGTATCAAGCCACAGAGAAACACCCACACACTGTCTGTAGATACTTTGATGCATGTTTTGCATAATGAAATGTCTATAAGTCATCAAACTGGAGGAAGTAATTTTATTTGATACACAGGGAGCAATGCTGTGTAGCTTTAATGCAGCAGGTTGATGTGGGGATCCCACAGTTGTTTCTCCTCTCGAAGTACATGAAATAATTTACATGAAATTTCCAAAATGAAGACAATGCTCAATGCCCCCTTGTAAACTGACTGAATGTGACTGACCCAGTGTCCCATATTTATTAGAAAACTGCTGGCAGCAGTTTTCAATATGCGCCTGTCTCAGTCACCACTTCTGTGTCATCAGTTGTGCTGCTTCTGCTATAAAAATACGGCTTGCTCTATTACCACTGCATTTTGCCTTATTACTATACCAGTGGGGTACCTCCTTTTTAGTGCTGTAGTATCCTGCTAGAATTAGATTAGCTCATCCTCACCATAGGCTCATTTCCTTTAATAAACCTACACCATCATGCCCTCAAGTGGGCGTGAGATTACCCACACTTTATCACATCCTGTTAAAACCGACATTGCCTGGACGGCAAGCATAAAAGGCCAAACTCCGTCTGAGATCTGAGGGCTAATGTTGGAGTTTATTTGATAGGCAAAGAGGATGAAGGAGGTCATTAAGTTTAACTGATCTTAAATATAGTGCAATAGAAACTGGCCTTTGATTTGACCCCGGATTGTCACAAATGTGTGTGTGGGTGTGGCAGTGTGTGTGTGTGTGTGTGTGTGTGTGTGTGTGTGTGTGTGTGGTGGTGTGTGTGTGTGTGTGTGTGTGTGTGGGTCTTCTGTTCTGACCCTGCTGCACCATGTAACAGCCTCCATCTGAAGCAGTAGCAGCCACTATCTGGACTGAGGTCAGTCTTGTAATAGAGGTTAACTATGGGCATAAACACAGACTCGCCCAGATCAGGCTGATCCAGGAGCGCCTTAATCAAGCGCTGATGCTCCTCAGGTTAATAGAAATGTAAAAGAAACAGCGACCCCTCCTTGCCTCTTTTTTTTTAATGCTCTTTCCCGTTTATGTCAAGGTGCATTTAAATGTTCTTATCTCATTCTGAGCATGTGGACGCGAGGAGGTAGAGTCTGTTCAGCGATGTGGTGTGTACTGAGGATAAAAACACCATTATCAACAGATGGAAAGATTTTGTTTTCTCTTTCCCCTCCATAGACCTTCACCTCAACCTCCCATCTGTAAAGAGAGTGCCTTTTTGTGTACTCTTATAATTGATTCATAGCAGCAGCAGGTTTGCTATTTCCCAGTTCCTCTGTGGAATACAGAGCGTGGTCAGATTAGTCTACTCTTGTGTTTACCCCCTTTCTACTATCAGAGACACGAGAAGCAACGCGTCGGCTGAAACCACAACCCAACCAGGACTAACTGATACATGCATGTACAGTGCGGGCCGCTCTGTGTGTGTGCTTGTGTGTTTGTCTTCCTAAAGTTATATATGCATACCTACAAGTGTCTGGCGTGATATGTCTGAACATCTGAATCATTTCTATTGTATTTTTATGGTTCTCCCAGGCCTCATTTCAACACTGTGATGGTAATGCTACTATACTGTAACACCAGATAAAAGCCCTGTTCAGCTGATGTATGCAGCTCACTCTGCGTTCTGTAGGAAGGAAAATATTATACAGAGAGAGCTGAAAAGGATAAAGAGAACAAGGGAGTGAAAGTGACTGATAACAGCAAAGGAGAGAGAGGAAAAGAGATAGAAAGAATGAAAAAGATAGAGCAGTTGCTGCTCCTGTATCTTATCTGTATTCTTCGCCAGTGTTTCTCGGCAGAAACAGTGTGTCCAGGACTATAAACAGACTATTATCCGAGTGTTTATCACAGTGCACATTACCGTTTGCCTCTGTCGGACTTACTGTAATGGAGTCGTTTGGTTTGATGGATGCCTCGGGCGTGGGTTTCTATCTATTGCTCCCATTATACCTCTGTCTGCATCCCCTCATTGTAGAAATGTCTGTCTGCACATTCAGCATAGCCTGCAAGCATGGTGATTGAGGTTATGGCCAATGTAAATGTACCATTTGGCACAGTGAATTGGAGATGCAGAGGGCAAGAGGAAATCGAGGGGAGGAAAGGAATCATCTGCCTTACACTACCTCTGGTAGTGGGTGGGGTGATGCTGGGGGAAGCTCACTTTATGTACTGTGGATAAATATGTACTGTGTATGTGTGAAAATAAAATATGTGACTGTGTTTTTGGTCTATTTTACATGTGGCGCTTGCTTTAGTCCCTGCTCACTGTACCGGAATGTATTCTTCAGCAGGCGCCCAACACTTAAGATTCATCCATCAAGGTTCGCAGTAACCTGATTGCCCTTGCTTCTCCAGGGCTACATCTCACATTTGAGACAACATGCACACTGTGTGTGTGTGTGTGTGTGTGTGTGTGTGTGTGTGTGTGTGTGTGTGTGTGTGTGTGTGTGTGTGTGTGTGTGTGTGTGTGTGTGTGTGAGAGAAAAAGTGTTGTTTGCGCGTGTAATGAGGAGCTGAGGTGTGGGGAGGTGA